ACCATATATTAGATAATATCATAAGATTGAGAAATCTGCCTAAAAATATTCTGAAAATAAGTCACAAACCTTAGTTTGTAAAGACACTAAACACAAGATTAAAAGTAAGAACATTTGTTAAAACAAGCCAGCAATAAAGAAATAAAATGCATGCATATACATAACTACTAATGAAAAGAATACACAATAAAAATACACACTAAAAAATTGGGCAAGAGTTCACCCTTCAAAACTCCCACTGGTGAGCATTGGGCAAAGGTGTTCATAAATTGCCATGCCATACAAAGGAAAAGCCAGAGTGGGCGTTCTTCGTTGTAATTTTGAACAGGATGCCCAATAGTGGGATGAAAATGACCAGAAGAGGAGGTAAGATGGGGATGGTTGGTTGATTTACCGACAAGAAAGTTCACGCAAACGAGTTGTATCAAAGAATGAATGACACAAGAGAACACTGATTGGCTAATAGAATTACAGTGATTGGCTAAAAAGGAGGCCTGTGAATGGTCAAATTTAATGCAATCTGATTGGTTAACTCGAAAATGTGTGAATCCTGGAATTGTATCAAGCTCAGGGGCCATGTCTTTACAAACCAGGTCTGTGCCAGCACAAACCAAAAATTAAATAATAACGGTGATGGAACAGCTTCAAGTATTTTTCATCATGGTGGACTGACCATAGATTCGTTATAATCGGTTTCCCTTCCGGAAAGAACTGTGTCTCTTCTTGTTGAGTGGGGAGTACCTATGTGAGCCACTGGTCGTATAGGTTGAATTTCTGGAATCTGTTGAAAATAGAATAATTAAGTTAGCATATTGAATTACGTTTTCTTCACAATAATGTTTAAGCAATATGCATCGTTATCTAGTGTGCATATCAGTCTTTTCCAAGAAACCTATCAAGATGCTCTTGAACACGTGGAAAGTGAATCATGTATAGCAGCGCCCAGTTAAGTGTAGTTGCAGTGGTTTCTGTTTCAGCCAGGAAAACCCCAACAACTACTATTTGAGTTCTTCATTGTCAAACGATTTTGAAGATTCTTTTTCATTCTCAAAATAACCTGCTTTGCGCTGCTCATGCTTCAACAGAAAAGCATCAATGATATTCAGCAGGCAGTCTGGATTGAGGTGGCAGTGTGGTGTACTTCTATAACTTCACTCCATTATAGTAGCACTTGTTTAGCTGGTTATACGAGAAAAATCCAAGACATTCGTTTCCGCAGAGGTTTTGGAATGATACGAGCAATCTGGAGAAGATACTTGAACGGATTTCTGTGGGACTGTTCATCTAACTGGTGCAGAAGGAACTGGAATGGTCTATTGTTATAATCGAACCTTTCATTAAACGATACAGAACATATACCGAAATCGACTTTCACTTGATGTGTGTTTTCATTTGAGACTAACCCATTTTAGGGACCGGCGAGCGAACTTCTTTTGCTCTTGTAGACCACTATCAAAACTGTGTGTACCTTAAGCAAATACAGCAAATACGAAACTGTAATTGAATGGAGTGAATTTCCGCCAAATGTTTTTATTCTTTAGTTGCACTAAAAATGTATGGTACCGAATGCTATTAATTCAAATTGGGAAAACGAAAATGGATAGTTAAAAGGTAAATACGAATGAACTGCCAAAGCATTGCCCCATTGAAGTAATTCATGTAGGGAACTCGCACCTATTGAATAATAAAAATACCTTAACCGTTGATAAGAGTGGCCGAGGGTTATCTAGTCACGTGGTCGCCTAAATATGTAGGTCGAATAGTGTTTGTACCACGTGTTCGACTACATGCTGACATTTAACGTAAATACGAAACATTCATATTTCATAACATACAGACAGCGCTGGGCAAAGTGTTGGTTATTCAAGAAGAACATAATAAACAGTTACCTATTACCTATTACCAGAGTAGTGATCGGCGATATCTATAATAAGGGCGATGGTTGTCGTGTCGTGTTTGATATGGCTACCTGCGTAGCGACACAACTTATGTAAAATACATAGTTACGAACTTCGAACTCGCGTTGCGGGTCGACAACCTTTTTTATCACTCCTACGTATCACTGTG